TAAATTTTACTTTTTTCATCATATATTTTATTAAAAAAATAATGAATAAAACTTTAAATATTTTTAATTTTTTAAAAAAAATTAAATACAATAAATTTTTTATACAAAATAGAGTTAATAATCTTTATATTTCAAAAACCACTCTTTTAAATTACAATAGCAAAATAAATATATCAAAAAATAACATAGATAATATACTCAGCTTAAGATACTATTCCTCATATAATCAAAGAGGTTTAAAAAAGAATGTTTATAAAGATAACAATAAAAAATCAATCGGTATAGATTTTGACAGTGTTACTAGTTTAATTTCTTCCAATGTTGATAAAATAATAAAAGGCAAAATACTTCCAAAGGATGTTTCCATTGCAGTAAACAAAATAATAAAATGCAATGAATGTGATATTAATGTTAGAGACAGAATGTTATCTTGCCAGTTTCTTTTTTTTTCACAATCATTACTTAATAATAATAATCCAAGAGTAAGTTTAGTAATAAAGATTATTCATTAAATTGTTTTATTATATATATTAACATCATTATTTTTATAGGGTCTAGATAAAGATATTTTAAATAAGGTTTGGAAATTAATAGATATTAAGGATAAAGATTTTTATGACGATTGGGATAATATTGGCTATTATTATTGTCAAGTTCTATCAATAAAACTTTTTATTCCATTGGTTACTGGTGAATACTTTAATACAACATATAATTCCATAGATAGTTCAATGGATGCACTTATAAGTTGTGTAAAGCATAAAGAATTCGAACCAAACGGGTTTTCAGATTTTACAAGATATTCATTTGATATTTCATTGGCTTTGGGTAAGTGGAGAGAAGCGATATTTTTAAGAACCTTGTTATCAAATCAATCTGTTATTTTTTCAAAACTGTCACTCAGCAATATATATTCTATAGACTCTGAATCAATTTATAAAATTATAACAAAGCAAATCTCTCACTCTATATTGAATGACCCTTTTTATGAAATAGATCAAAAAGAATATTCTCCAATCAATGAAAAGTTTTTTTTCATATTCAAAAAGTATCAATTTAAGCAATTTGGACTAAAGCACACAAATTTCGAAAACATTAACACAGAAAAAGAAGAGTTTGATATTAAAAAAGACAACTATATATTAACGAGTAAGGCTTTAGAAACTATCCAACAGGTTAATGAAAATGGTTTTAGAACTTATGGTAATTAATAATATTATTACTCTTTGTATTTAAAACTACATTACTAACTAACTTATTTACTATTAGGAAATGACGGTACTCAGATGATATTTTTAGGAAGAGCAGTTAAATTAATTCTTCCAGATGGAATGGTATATGGTGGAATAGTTAGTTTAGATTTCAAGAAGATTCATCTTTATGGAATTTCAGTTTCATTAAAAGGAGAAATAATAGAAGGACAATTTAATCTTAATGTTCAAATCAGTGATGACAATAAAACGATTGGTCTTGAAGGAGTCCATAGATCAGTTTATATATCAAATAATAACCAAAAAATATTGGTAGATAATAATTTCTTTGCTAAAATGGAAATAAAAAAATAAAAAATAATAATATTTAAAATTTTTAAAACTTTATTTTTTTTTATTTATTTTATTAAGTTTAATTTATTTTAATTAGTTCTACTTCAAAAATTAAATAGGAGTTTGGAGGTATATCACCTAAATCCCTGTCCCCATATCCTAGGGAAGGCTAAAAAATATATATTAATAATTAATCATTTTATTTATATTTTTTAATAAATTTATTACTTACTGGGATTCTTAATACTCTTTTTTGGTGAACACACATATCCAATATACCAATTTCCCATCCTTTAATTACTTTATTTTGACCTAAAGTAAATGTAAATGGTTTTCCTCCTACACTTGAATCAAACCTATAATTCAAAAAAATAAAATTAGTAATTAAATCAATACATAAAATATTGATATATTACACTTACTTGTAGCCATTTATTAGCTTACCAGTATAGTGAACTGTTACTTTTTGACCAACTTTGGTTTTTATTTTACAAACATCCGGTTTAAAAGTATCTACAATTTTAACACTTTCGGGTTTAGTTGCACTTGATAAACTAATGTGTAGAATTAATATTAGAATTAAAAAAACTATAAAAAATTTCATTTTATAAATTTTTATTTATAAATGATAAATAAAAAAAAATTAAGAAAAATTTTTTAAAACAGATAATTTTTTTTTTTTTTTTATTTATTTATTTGTATTCTGACAGATCTATAAAAAAGAGAAAATAATTTTTTTTACTTAAAATATATTAATAAAATCTGACCAAAAATAATTATATTATAGATTTTTTTTAATATTTTTATTTATTTATTTTTTAAAAAAATTAAATTATAATATTTTAAAAAAAGAAATAAAATGTTGATGATTAAAGAAAATTAATATCTATTAAATTTCTATTAAACACTTTGCAAATCCTTTGGAAAATGGACAACTAATTGTACAAAGTTGGAGTTTCTTGCATACTGCATCGCATCCTTTTGTTGGGTATGAAACACTATTGTAAAAGTAGTATTGTTGGAGTTGTTCTGGTACTGATTGGATTAATAAGAATGCTTCAAACATGGATATGGCATCTAAAGCTTTAACCTTGAAAAATTGTGTTGCTTGATATTCCAATTCCCATGTAATTGTGTTGCTTTCGATATCGGCTGTTAAATTGGTCCAAAATTGATAGTAATCTTCCAAAGTAAAATCAGTTGTATTATATTGGTACATACGTAAACCTGGATTATTTGGTAATGTTGGTAGATATTTATTCATCCATGGTGTTATACTTGGTGATAAAAACATTATACCATCAGGTACACCTCCTAATCTATCAATATCGCTATAATATAATCTAATAGAATCGGTATGTTCATGTCCGTATATATGAAATGGTATAATATCTGCATATTCCCCAAATGAAAATAAATATTCATCGTTAAATTGTTTATGGAAATTGAAAACATCATATTTTTCATTATATCCTGGTGGAACACTATAAAAAAAATTGGTTAGTTTGATATTTGTAAATAAATTATATAAAACTAATAAAAAAAAACCTACTGTCCCATAACCCAAACTTTTTCACCAGCTAAAGCTGCACTTGCCAAAGTACTATTTAACCATTCTAACTGACCAGCTGGATCAGTCATATTAATACATTGTTTATCTTGAGTATAATAAAGATTTGTATTTAAACTAACAATTCTAAATCCTGGTTCAACCAACTCTGTATAATATCCACCAATCAGAAAAGTTTCTAAAGCATCTTCTGATAAAAATTGTGACCACATTTGAGCTGTTGCATTAAATAACCAATTTGGTCCTATTCCAATTTGATGTTGAGGGTATGAATCATGATCTAGTGAAAAATAACAAAATTAATAACCACCCATTATAAATTATTACAACTCAATACTTACTACCTAGACAAGGAAATACCCTAGTATTTGGAAAGTATTCAGTAATTAAATTTGTCATATTACTAATAGATGATAAAACTATAGTTTGATTTAAATTTTTATTTTCAAAATGAGGTGGTGAATCACCTGTCCAAAGTATAAAATCTGGATTTGGTTCCATCTTTTTCATATATTCGAATGATGATATTAAAAGTTCTGGTGATGTATCACATTTATAATCTCCAATTGGTGATATGTCATTTTTTTTATCTGTGCATGCTGTATCGTATGAAAATTCAAAGTGACTATCTGTTATATGCCTATTATAAAATTAGAATTTCAATTTTGCATTTTGTGATATGATTGTGTGTAATATAATTATAATAACTTACCAAAATTTACCATTGTTTAAACCAATACAATAACACTGGTTAATTAATAAATATAAAAAAACGATTAAATTTAAGCTCCGAAACTTCATAGTTCCTCTTTTTCTATATTTTATATTTCTTTTTTAATTAATTTGTTTCTAAATTAAAAAAAAATGAAATAATAAAAAAGATAAAAAAAAATAAAAAAAAAGTGTCAATATTATTTTTTAAATATACAAATAAATATTAAAAATAATTTTAAAATTAAAAATTAATAATTAATTTTTAAATTATTTAAATAATTAAATTTTATTATTCATACACACATTAATCAGAAATAAGTGTTATATTATTATAAAAAAATAACCACACACACACACTTTTTTTTTTTAATTAAAAAAACAATTGATGGAAAGTTATAAATAAAATATGATTTAAAAAGGTTTGAGGAAAAAAAAAAAAAAATTATTACAAACGACAATCTTATTTAAATAATAAAAATTAAAAAATATAAAAAAATTATTAAAAAAAAAAAAAAGAAAAAAAAATAAAAAAAAAAAGGTATATTTTAAAATCACAAAAAAAAGAGATATTTTCAATTTGATTGGCTTGCACAAACGACAGAAATTTTAATATTTTAATTATAAAAAAAAATTTTGAAAATTTGGGTAAAAAGGGAAAAATAAAAAAAAAAATAAAAAAAGTGTAAAAAAATGGGCTTTGATAAAAAATAATAAATAAATAATAGATATAATAGTTATATATTTTTT